TACAAGGTTTCTATGTGAAAGATTGGTACATTTTTCTGAGTCCTTTTACCAAAACTCATGTCTTATGTATGGAGGACCAAAACTGCCATAATCAAACAAAAAAAAAAAACATACACAGAAATACACAAATCTGCTTAATTTTATTTTTTTTCTAAAATACTGCATGAAATCTGAAAATAATATATTTTTCTTTTAGAGAAATAGAAGTTTTAGTTAAATATATATATATATATATATAATATTTACAAATAAATAGATAAGTACAAAATGAATGTATAAATACATATATTTATATTATTACAACAATTCATTCACATATTTATGTGCGTATGCATATATTTATTTATATATCTATTTATTTAGCATTTTCTTTATTTCCACATTTATTTCTATTTCACTGACTGTATGCTAATAATGGGGCGTGTTTTCGCTCTTCAGACAAAAGCAATCGAAACCCCCCAGACCGGCTGCCTACTGCTCCACACTCCCGAGGGTCAAGCTCATCCAGTCAGTCTGGAAACTGAACGACGTACTGCCATCGTGTACACAGGAAGCACTAGTCTATCACAACTTTAGCGCGAGTCGGTTCATCTTCTTCTTCTTCTTGTTTTAATGGCGGTTTACAAGCCAAGCTTTTGGTGCATTACCGCCACCACCTGTTTGTTTGGTGCATAACTGCGAGTCAGTTCATCTTCGTCCTCGAAGTTTTATGGCGAAGGGCAACCAAGTGCAATGGTCCATTACCTCCTACTGGACTGGAGTGTGGAGCAGTAGGCAGCCGGTCTGGGGTGATTCGATTGCTTTTGTCTGAAGAGTGAAAACATGCCCCATTATTAGCATACAGTCAGTGAAATAGAAATACAGTGCCTTGCGAAAGTATTCGGCCCCCTTGAACTTTGCGACCTTTTGCCACATTTCAGGCTTCAAACATAAAGATATAAAACTGTAATTTTTTGTGAAGAATCAACAACAAGTGGGACACAATCATGAAGTGGAACGAAATTTATTGGATATGTCAAACTTTTTTAACAAATAAAAAACTGAAAAATTGGGCCCATTTCACCCATAAGGTGTACAAGTCCTCCATGGAGGGCAAGCTGGTACCGATGATTTTCCCTGCAGTTCTGACTGTCCGCTGGAGTCTGTTCCTGTCCTATTTGGTTGCCAAGCCAAACCAGACAGAGATGGAAGTATATGGAACAAATTTAGTGATTCCCCTATAGAATTGAATCAGCAGCTCCTAAGGCAGGTTGAACTTCCTGAGCTGATGCAGGAAGTGCATCCTGCTGCACCTTTTTAATGATGGCGGCGATGTTGGCTGTCCACTTTAAGTCCCGAGAGATTGTGGAGCCCAGGAACTTGTAGGACTCTACAACTGAAACAAAGCTGGTGAGTATAGTAAGTGGAGATAGGGTGAGGGAGCTCTTCCTATAATCCTTACCACATCCAAACTAACAAAACAGGGCAGGACTAAATAGGTTAGGCACGTCGTTTAACCTGTTTTACGTCTCACTTAAGAAGGGGTAAAGAAGCTCCCTTTCACAACAATGCAACCTCAGCAAAGACCCTAATGACTAGAACAGGTGCTGACATGTTTCCTGGAATAAGTCAACTTGATTATTGTAATATTTAAGTCTACTATGCCATACATTATTTGCAGGAAATTTTTAAATCGTGTTATAAAATTATTGACCTGTTACTTATACAAATTTTACTACCTGCAGAATACTAGGCTATTTCATTTCGTAAACACTGCTAAATTATGCATGCAGATGAGCGAGAGTTGTATTTTATTTTGAGTGTGTCATTATGTCACTGTCATATCCTGGAATTGCGATTCCTTATTCCAACTACGATTCGGTGATATTTTGGTAAGTCATAAACGCCTCTGCGTTTTTTCTTCTTACATTTACCTCATGCTTTGCACATGACGTGCCCGTCCAAGGCTAATGTAAGGTCGCTTTATGCTTATGCTCTCAATGTCTTAAAGCCAAAATAACCTCATACCGTTCGCGCCAGTTAAGGTGCATTCAGTGTTCGAATTATAACATGGCTTTCAGGGGAGTTAATTTTTTCCCCACTCTTTGGTGGTTAGGCTAGATGACAGTGTTGGACAGGGTGCGCAGTCCACTCCTTTGGCTCGGAATAAGAGATGTTGTGTTAACGCTTAGCCTCCTCCGGCGTGTTTATTTTGTTACAACAAACATACAACATAACATGGGGCTCTGAAATGGCATCAGTCTGGAAAATAATAAGAGCTCTCTTCTATGCTCCTTCTCTCAAGAAGTGATCCTCGCACGCTCTTGCTCTCTTACATAACCCGGAAGTATGTACAATAATGTCCTTCAAAACAAAAGCATGTTTCATACAATGAGTAAAGGCGTGTTCAATAATTAACATCTTAACAGACAGACACAGCATGTATAAAACACGTAATTTGGGTTAGTTTTTTTTTTTCAAATCATTATTCCTATTGATGAGAACTTGAATAATAAAAATAGAAAAACTGATTTAAATTAGCTGCTGGTGGAGAGGTGTGCGTATTTCTTATTTCAGCACCAAGGAGGCACAGAGAGCAGTGAGTAGAGTATTCCTGGGTATTATGGTTCATACATTAATTGCCTATTTTATTTTTTGTTTTGCAAATATGAATTGAAAAACCAAGTCCAGTTGCGTGTGCCACAAGAGAGGACTGACTGTGACACTTAAGCTGCCTTGTTTTCTTTCTTACATACTGTTTGATTTGTAGCCTAAATGAAAATGGCTATTCACGCGCAACAAGAAGTTGTCTTCTCCTTTTCAATATAAGGCAACTGGAATGATCAAGAGAGATTGTTTTGCTGATCTTTGCATTAAATTGAGGTTTAATGCGGCACCACGCTTCGATCGTGATGGCAAGAATTGTTTGCATGCTGCTATCTTTATTAAAACGAATTAGTGAGGACTCACCCTATGTCTGAATCATACATCAGTAATCAGGCCCGCTGGCCCCCCACTTGTCATGCTTATACCTGGAACAAAATGAGCTACAAAGAAGAGCCCCTCAAAGGGGCTTATGCCATAATGCTCATTTGCACGTGGCTAAATAACTCTTATCTCCCACACACTTAATCCAGGCTAAAACTAACTCTTGCCCCACTGAAATTCAATCATAGAGAAATGGAAAATTGATAAACTAATTTAATCTGTACTACTTTACATCAGTTTGCATGGAAAAAATATTACTGAGGTCTATAGTTGCTTTCGTCAACGAAAATTTTGACTAAATATCGTCGTCATCGAACCTTTATCGCGTGACGAAAACGAGGCGAGATGCAACGAAAATGCTGGTCGTGTGACGATGACTATAATTAAATGTATAATGCAATATTGTTGACGAAAAAGAGACTAAATGTGGTTCACAAAATAAAAACTATGCCAAAATGTCTTTTTATTTTCACTGACCAAAACGAAATGAAATGTTATGTTATTTCATCTCATTCAGTCGCGTTATTATTATTATTTTGCAGCATATCTGTTTCGCGGCATTATTTAGAAGACGACAACACAAAGCTAAGTCTGACACAAAGAAAGGGACTGATGGCCGGCCAGCCGGGGTTCGTCATTGGGAGAAAAAGCAATGTGTTCTGGGAAAAGATGGGGAGAAATGTGGCCACAAAATCACACAAAATGTGTATTGGATGTATTCTTGAGTCTATAAGGTAACAATAATATAATAAGATAACCTTGTTTGAAATGGGTTTGGCTAAAAGAAACATTTGGTTTCCTCTATACTACTAGGTACTTATACTATATTGACTGGGTTAAATAGAATTGCATTACTAAAAAGAGACTAAAACTAGACTAGACTAAAAAGAGTATGAATGTGACTAAAACCAAAAAAAACTAAAATGACAGCTTCACACAAAGACTAGACTAAAACAAAAATTAAAACAGGCCGCCAAAAACGACTCTACTGGGGTCTTAAACAGCTCACACCTGTGCCATCTCCATGCCTCTCCTCCTTGACACAGCTGGCCTCCCCCGCACTGCTCTCACCTACAGCCTGGGTTTGTCATCATCTTTCTTTCCTCTGTGATACAGCTACAAACCCAAAACTCGGGAGTTTCTGTTAGAGGAGGAGTCATGTTAGGTTTGTATGTAAACTAATAACTGGGCGTTAAAGGTAAAGCTAGGTGGTAGTTATTAGGTGCGTTTGCCAGATGTTTAACTTAAGCTAAACTGATGTAGGTTGGACTGTACTTGTACTTGAAACTTCTTCTTCGACTTCAGTATATACTACTATATCACTTTTGTGTTTGGCCCCATTTTTCAAAGATCTACAACTTGTTCTATATACACAAAAAGGCCTATTTCTCATATTGTTCACAAATCTGTCTAAATCTGTGTTAGTGAGCCCCTCTCCATTGCCGAGATAATCCATCCTCCTCACAGGTGTGGCAGATCAAGATGCTGATTTGACAGCATGATTATTGCACAGGTGTGCCTTAGGCTGGCCACAATAAAAGGCCACTCTAAAATGTGCAGTTTTATCACACAGCAAAATGTCACAGATGTCACAAGTTTTGAGGGAGCATGCAGTTGGCATGCTGACTGCAGGAATGTCCACCAGAGCTGTTGCCCATGAAATGAATGTTCATTTCTTTACCATAAGCCATCTCCAAAGGTATTTCAGAGAATTTGGCAGTACATCCAACCGGCCTCACAACCGCAGACCACATGTAACCACACCTCCACATCCAGCATTTTCACCTCCAAGATCGTCTGAGACCAGCCACCCGGACAGCTGCTGCAACAATCGGTTTGCATAACCAAAGAATTTCTGCATAAACTAACAGAAACCGTCTCAGGGAAGCTCATGTGCATGCTCGTCGTCCTCATCGGGGTCTCGACCTGACTGCAGTTCGTTGTCGTAACCGACTTGAGTGGGCAAATGCTCACATTCGATGGCGTCTGGCACTCTGGAGAGGTGCTCTTTTCACGGATGAATCCCAGTTTTCACTGTACAGGGCAGATGGCAAGACAGCGTATATGGCATTGTGTGGGTAGTCGGTTTGCTGCGAGTAGCCCGTGGTGGTGGTGGGGTTATGGTATGGGCAGGCGTATGTTATGGACAACAAACAGGCGCATTTTATTGGTGGCATTTTTGATGCACCGAGGTACACAATTCCTGGAAGCTGAAAACATCCCAGTTCTTGCATGGCCAGCATACTCACCAGACATGTCACCAATTGAGCATGTTTGTACTGCTCTGGATCAGTGTATATGACGGTGTGTTGCAGTTCCTGGAAATATCCAGCAACTTCGCACAGCCAGTGAGGAGGAGTGGACCAACATTCCACAGGCCACAATCAACAACCTGATCAACTCTATGCGAAGGACATGTGGTCACACCAGATACTGACTGGTTTTTGGAACACAGAGTTTTTGGCCTCAGTCTGAAGGTTGTCAAATTGTCTCAATTTTGTTCCAGTTTTGTGATGCAGAGTTACTAGGTGGTACTTCAGCATATCTACTTTGGACTCTGACATCAGTAGAATGTTACCAAATGACCTGAGCCACTGAAAGAGTTCATGTGTTGAGACATTCAAAGATTTAAATGTGGACAATTAACTATTGTGTTTGATTAACTGCCTTTTATCATGGTCCATTCATGACACCAGACCAGAACAAGATATAAGATTCTTCATCTTATAAATCAAACAATGAAACAGAAACTAAAGCTTGTTGTTTATATGTTTACAAACATTTTGGGGCTAAAATGGTTTACCAGACTTTATTTGAATGTATTTATTTTTGAAAAATTACAGTGGCTCAAAAGTGCAGGTTTGCAGGAAATCAGACAACTAGAAATGTCTTTCATTTTAAACATTGCACATATAAAACGACTGTTTATATTCATCCTGTTTACTAGTGTTTACATTTTATATACTGCGTTCTCAGGTGACTGACATGTTGCCAGTTGTGGTGGTCCACGGCGGGGCGGGCATTGTCCCAAGGGAGAGGTCAGAAAAGTCCACTTCAGGGGTGTGCTCAGCAGCGCGAGCAGCGTATGCCATCCTCCAGGGAGGGGGCAGCAGCATGGATGCAGTGGTGGAGGCTGTGATCCAACTGGAGAAGAACCCCACTTTCAATGCAGGTAGTGTAAAACCACTACACACTGCTGTATGCAATTAACCATATAATGTCACTTTCACATATTCTGTTGTTGGGGGTGTGTATGACCACGGAGGAAAAGTTAAGTTATTGTAATGTTGCATAGACCTTTTCCACAGCAGATATTCTGACCTGTCAAACACAAGAGCCAATCCCAGCTGACAGTAGGCAAGAGGCAGACTAATTTACCTTTAAATTGAAATGTTTCTAAATCCAAAACATTTCTTGATTACAGGTATTGGTCTCAATGCTCAATGCTTGTTCCCAATAAAAAAAGACAAAAACAAAAACTGTCACTTCAAACCAACTCATGTAAGCTGTGGTGGAATGCATGTTGACTGATAGGATCTTATTTTGTTAAACACACAACACATTAAGGAATGCTTATGATGCTCTGCTTGCATTAATCATAGCTCGAATAATCATCAATGTGTCGTACTGTATGTGGTTTTGCCCGTGGTTGAATTTTTGCACAAGGAATGTGATGGAACAACTTGTGGGTCTTGGTATTCTTGGTGTCCTATTGCTTGCATTGTATGTGCTCCCAAACATAATCAAATTGTAGCAACACAGTACACTACATGGGTGGTTTTGTTTCTGGCCATAAATTGCATTTTGAAGTGTTTATTTATTTTTTTTAAGTGGAGAATACAGGTGGATGGAGGGCCCTAGTTCAATGGCCACAGTGCACCACTAATCAGCAGTCAGGTTAGCAAGATTTACGCATAAAGCAAATTGACAAATTGATGTGGGCACAGTTAAGCATTTGTAAGTAATTTACACAACTAATGAGTAACATGCATGGAAAGTTGCATGCAATATCATGCTGTTTGTTGAGTAAAAGACAGCTTGCATTCTTTTGTTACCTGCTGTTGTTTCTGGGTGATAAAAATGCAACCAATTTACACGGAGTCAGGCATAATAAAAAAAAAATTTACCACACTGTTAGAAGTCCTCAAAGGTACTAACAAGTTGGCACCACCATGAGGCCAAATTATGCTTATGTACACAAGAAATGTGTAAACCAATGGGTAAGTTGCTGGGAAATGTAGGAATCATGTGCATACTCCCTTAAAAAAGCTCCACCCACAGACCTCACACTATGATCTCTGTGCACAAAAGAGAGACAAAGCTCCCACAGATAATTTCTCACATCATTTTCAGGTTGTGGGTCGGTGCTGAATGCCAAAGGAGATGTAGAGATGGATGCCCTTGTGATGGATGGGAAAACACTGAGTAGCGGTGCTGTGTCTGCTGTACGCTACATAGCCAACCCCATTCAGCTGGCAAGACTGGTTATGGAAGAGGTATGTGCACATACTTCTATATGCAACAACATGTATGTATACCATACATATGTGCTCCAGTGGTGACAGTGTTGTGTGTGATAGCATTATTATGTTTACAAGCTTTTGATTTCATACCTGCTCTCTGCACATACTGAAAGCATAATGCTGCATCCAAACTGAACATTCAGATAGTTATTTATCCAGGTCGCTGAAGAATTTCAGGATTTTCCACACAAAAATACATATCTGTATTTCATCTTTGCTAATGCTAACAGACTCTTTACATGTTGTCGAGCAAATGGAGGCAGTTGTTTCCTAATAATGTGTAATGTACCAAAAAGAAACAAATTTCAAAGAGCCACAATTTTGGCTGTAGTTTAGTTTAGACTGTGACCTCAACACACACTCAGCTATGTCGGTATAAGTAGGTGTAGGCTTATTATGTGCATTTTTTACAAACCCCAATTCCAACTAGAAAATTGCATTTTTTGAAGAAAATGCGTATGGATGCTGAGTGCTGAAAAATCACCCTGAAAATGCTGAACATTTTGACACCTGAATGCTTTTGTTAGCTGAAAGTATGCTGAAGTTTGAATTTCCCTATTCATTTCAATAGGGTAAGATTTTCAGAATAAAGCCAAATATTTTAAAAGTATGAAGTTTAGAAAAATTTTGAATAAAAGCATGAATATCCTTGAGGAGCTGCACATTTTGATTGCTGAAATTATGCTGAAGTAGAATTTTCCCATTCATTTGAATGGGGCAAGATTTTCAAAATAAAGCTAAATATTTAAAATGTATGAAGTTT